AAGGGGTCGAATAATCGTTGCGATATGTCTGTTCTGAAGTTCCCAGTGAAATAACCGAAAGAAATCTATTCCATTGGCTGACGAATGAAAGCACAAGCCACCCGAACTAATTGTTGTCACAATGAACAACGCGAGCTAAGGAAGTTGTATACAAACTGGCCGTAGCTGTTGTATGTGTATGAAATACGGTGACGCCCAACAATTTGACAGTTTCTATCGATAGCCCAATGAAACAATGTGGGAAAAAACACGTTTATTAAAAATACGCGTGACTGTAGCTTTCGGGTCGCTATTGTGAAGAGAATCCAAAGAGAAACGGGCGTAAAAAGAAGCTCTGTCGTAAGAATTTGTCAAAAGAAAGTAATTTGTCGTTAATTTTTAGTTGCGATTTATCACGATTTAGTTGGCTTTTCGGAAGTTATTCAGAATTTACGTTCAAGTACATATCTTTATCTTCTAGTTAAAATACCGAGGTAACTACGCTATCAACCACGTTTACCGTTGTATTTATATCACAAACACGATGTGAAATTACGTAATCTTGAAATGTATCGTACAAAATCACCGATCTCCACACAAATGATTCTTATAGTACTCTGTACCTTCAGCTATCTCTATAAGATTTAATCGAATTCAAACACGTTGTCCGGATCGATTCAAGGAAACAAAATTCTGATCCTACGAGGTTAATTAATTCCATCTATCTATCTTTATCCATTCCTACTTCGTAATTGTAAGTCGTCTAACTCTTCTTCTGGTACAAGCTTCACATATCCCATGACGTCAAATTCAACGCTTGCATTCAGCGAATCTTTAAGCATTCAAACCGCGAGATGTTGCCTCAACTTTTCACTGCTCTTGCATTCTGACCCGTGGTCATTGTCGATCGTCGTGACGGAGGACAATTATGATAAAGATATGCGGGATGCATCTGTTTAGTATACTGAAATACTCGTGGTGAGACCGGAAACGAGATAAATGGTCCTCGCTGTTACCATTCACCGACGAACAAACGTGGAGAAACACATTCCAATATTAGTCGATATCAAAGACAAGAACGGTCCGTACTAATGGCCTGTAAACATTACAATCACAAAATATCGCGAATGAACATAACCACGAGTTAACTCTATCGTGGCGCTTTTTACAACCATGAGTGTTTTCTTGAGTTGGAGGTGAATAAAATAGGAGACGTTTCGGGGCGTTTAGATTGTAAAATGGTTTTTTAAAGTCAGTTGTCGAGTGGGTTCGTGCTATATCGTTCGACGTAGTGGATTTTGAAACTCGCTCTCTTGGAATTTAACGTTTTTATTGAATGTAAGGCATGGGACTTCGGATTTAAGTAAAGTAATTGAAAGAATACCTTGAGACTGTAAATTGTGAATTATACTCTGCAGCTGGTTAACTGTTATTGAAATTTACTTAAACTTTACTTTTGTTTTTACTATAAATGCTACTAAGATTATAAAATAAGCGAAATATTTTTTGGCAACAATGGTAATCGATGAAGGAATTAATTCAGACACTAGATGTTTCAGCATAACTTGGAGTTTAAATTTAGTTTTAAAATGTGAGTTTAACGTTATTTTAGCACTATTTAAAATGAACATGGCTTAAATATCGAAAATTTATATTTTCTTTATTCTTCGTACAGTTTCAAGGCAAAAGAAATATCATTCCGCTGGTGGAAATGACGAACACGCGAATTCAGTGAAAATTAAACTAGATTTCAAAGGCGATGGAATCCTTTTCATTGATCGAAATAATTTTATCCGTTCGATTCGAGTGCGTTCGCAAACTATTTCTAGTATTTCCCGGTAATTAAAATTATTAACATACGTTCATGGACAAGCGTGAATAATTTTACGGATATATGAAAACGAATGTTTCGTGGGAACAATTTAAATGTTATTATGTACACTATATACATATATATATATATATATATATATATATAATTTAAATGTTTTAATCGATTTATTTAGTAGAAACTTGAATTTCTAATGGTCACCAATTCTCTCAACAGAATTTAATTCACCGATGCGTCTATAGTTGCCGAAAAAGTATTTCATTTTTCTTGCGAAAATTTGAATTTTTATATTAGAAATATTCGAAGAAAAATTAAGGAGAAGTTTGCAATCTGTCTACGAGAAAAAACACATTTATTTTATGCTAAACGCAGGTTTACAGATAAATGTTTGCTATAGCAAGTGAAGTGTAATAGCTAAAAATGGGAGATACCATTGACCGTTGATCATGATCATGAAATGTATATTTTGGCAACATTAAAATACCAGAGGATTTATTAAAGAATTAAAAATATCTTTTCCAGATAAATTAGAATTGTTAATATTTTAGATTAATATTCATTTGAGATCGCCTTTTCTGATTCATGATATGCGGTTATATACGCGTATTTTTCACTTGAAAATTAATAATTATATTTCTTAGTTTTTAAAGAGAGCAGGAATATCGTAGCTGATCTTGCATATATGTAGAACTATAAAATACATAGAACTGTACGTACGTGCTTTATTTATAGATTGTTAAAAAAATGTTTCCAAATTCCCGTGACTTTTTATTTGCTTGCCATATTTATATTTCACAAGTATGTATATTTTCACATTAATTTTAAGTGTTAGTGCATAAAATATTTAATGTATAAAATATACTCAATCAGTAAAGAAATATTTAAATTATGGGATGAAAGTATTCCTTGTTTTATTAATAGAATAATTGATCGTTTTTGCCTATAAGGTGAAAAAGAGTGAAGTGTATGGGGAAAAGAAAACGAAAGAAAGAGAGACGAAGAGAGAAAAACGGGACAGGTACGGATATGGCGCGCCACGTGCACCGAGATTCGCACGTTCCTAACCTACCCCATTCGTTAACCTGACCCATGTTGCGATTCCTCCGTAGGTCGATTCCCATCGAGCGCGAATTAACCTACATAGGCATAGGCATTTCTGCGGGCTCAAACCATAGGTTTCTGTCGATACAAAATTAACCAGCGCTCACCCTTCCGGTGCAACGAACGTTTCCACTCGATACGCAATCTCTCTTTCCCTATTGATATCATCGTTTCTTTCTCTCCTTCCTTCCCTTCTCACCATCCTCTCTCTTTCACGGAATTTCTCTTCTCGTAATTCTTTTCCTTTTTTGAGAATTTCTCTCCCCATAACCCTCTCTTTTGGAAGAAGAAAGTGATCATTCTAGTCCAAAGCATTTACGCCTGAAGTATTTTCTCAAGCAATTTAAAAGGAAGTGGTTAATACTAATCACTGGGTAGTCCATTGAGTTTCAGATATTCGGTTGGAACTAACAAATGAAAATAGATTCATAATTTGATACGGAATTTGGAACATCTGTGAAGTTAAATGAAAACATTTGAATGTAATGTATAGTCTTGCAAAAAGAAAATCCTCTCTGCCTGAGAAGCAGAGCTGTCATTTTGCTTGGAAAATGAATAACGCTTGATGAACATTCCACTTCGCGACATCCTTTCGTTCCATTTCGCGCGCGACGCCCTTTTCGAAACGAAACGGGAGTCGCATAGAAATGTAACCAGACGAATGTCTGCGACGTTTTACCGAAGAATTTCGGCCAAGCATATATTTTACCTTCCAATCCGGTCAAGTCCACTCGCTTTTGTACTCGTTGCACCGGATTTCGGAGGGGATCAGCCGAATTTCGGACGAGTGGAATTTCGTTTTCCCTCGTCGGCCTACATTTTCGAATTCCGATGCGTGCACATCAAAATTTATAGATTGCAGCACTTGAGAGTTATTTCGGGTCGAATACGCGATTATTCAATTTTTTGAATAAATGCTACTAATTTTTTGATTACTTACGAATAATTATTATTAGTCAATAATAGTTATTATTGGTCAATAATAATTATTAGTAATAATAATTATAATTATTACTCCGAACTAAATTAGTTCGTTAAGGCGTTCACAATCCGCACGTTAAACTTTCTATAAAATTATGTATCAAGGACCGGAGTAAACTGTATAAAATTGAAAAGATACAGGTTAAGATCTTAAGAAGAATGTTAAGACCTTCCCAATGTATAAAATTATCTCTGCTGACTCGTAGATATATTTATCAGAAATCCTAGAATGTGTATTTTAATATGCCGTGAATGAAACTAGCGGTAGTCGATGAGAACAAATTGCCGGAGGAATCTACTCGCGCGCAGACAATGACTTCACGTAGAGTAAATCGCGGATTCCTTTTCTTTCACGGAGGAAGGGAAACGCTCTCGAGCACGCGAAAATGAGAACGAGTCGCGGTAAGAGACAGTGAAGCAGTGAAACTCGATCCGCAAGCTTAGAGGTCGTTTCTATCTGTTTCCTTTCCTTTCTACCGCAAGAGTAAAGTTCCATTCTGTGACTAGCAACGGTACATTAGACTCGCGAACACTCTTTCTTCGCGTTTCTCAGATAATGATATTGTCGGTATCGAACGAACGAATTTTTACACGTATCAATCCCTGTTAAGTTTCAAATATATTAAAGCGTTTTACTCTGGATATTTGGAAATTATGTGTTTGTAGATTTTGTTAGACTATGATTTACCAGATAATCTAATCCATACATAATCCATAGAATAATATCGACAGATAGATCATATAACTTTTGACGTAACAGTCCAACTAGTATTGCTAACGAAATCTGATAAAGTTACCAATACGTACTGATAAATTGTTCCTATTAATGATTGTCCCAATTCCTAACAATATACGAAATAACACAATAATAGACAAATAAAAAGTTTCAAAGAACGTAGACATATAGCTATGTATGTAAGTAATCTGTAACTCGGAAGGCATTACAGAGAGTTAATAAAAAACGACGATCGATCCCACAAACGCCTGATTGCTTCTGATGCAGGGTACCAATTTTTTTACTCGATTGATCGAGAACGTTCTGAAAAATCGAAGGGATCGATACCGAGAATCAATATTAACGGCATATGGCGTACATGGTGCAACTTACATTTTTGGCTCGTCGATGATCGGCCATCAACGTGAGCGGCAGGTGTTAGCGTAGCCTCTTTTCCCCAACTGTGCGGTGTTCCGGAAGTAGGAGCGTGGACGACACCGGGCCGGTCGCGATCGCGGCCGCCTTCAGCTACTCCCCAACTCGTCGCACCTGCGTGTCATTCTCCGTCACGGATTATCTGCCTTGTAGTATCGGACCTGTCGTCGAGTAAGCCAAGCCCAGGGGGTTCGCTAGCCAGGAAAATCGTAATGTCGATCACTTTCACTGCGCGCCGCGCGTTCCCTTCCGTATCACAATCATAAGACGACCAGGGGCGGACGGGAAGGGGGCCGAGACACGAAGAGAAGAGGAACACAGAAACGGGCGGCGAAACGACGAGGAATACAAGTGAGAGAGAGAGAGAGAGAGAGAGAGAGAGAGAGAAGCGGAGAAAAGAAAGATAGTCGCGCGTTGGTCAAAGAACGGAAGATGAGAAAGGAACGGAAGATGAAGCAGACAGTGAGAAATAGGGACGGAGCAAATAGGAGAAAGGAGAAACGCCGCGCTGGAGTGCCGGTGGATCGTCACAGTTTCACTTTTAAATTGCTCGAGGCGCTCGCTCGCTAGCCACTCTCCACTTGCTTTATTCCGCGCTGCTGCGTTGCGACTAGGTCGCGTGCGTGTTGTGTACGAGGATTACCGTTACCGTTAACGTGACGTAGACAGTCACCGGTAACGTCATAGACCGCTCACTCTCCGGGTGTGCTCACCTCTTCCTGTTGGTATTCCCCGCCCAGCTAGTCGCTTTACTTCGCGCTAACGAACTCCCGGATTGACTTTCGATATATACGTGTACGTGAACGATACGTGCTTCACACCTTGTTGGAACCTGGCTGCGGGGTTCCGATACCACCGAGTCGTTCGACTGGTTCTGCAGGAGCGTCGCTCTGTTACATATCGGTTATCGTCCACTCTTCTCTATTAGCGTTGACCGCCAGGCTGTTGTTGGTCCATTTACCGGATTCTTTCGATCGGTCGACCACGTCAACGAACTTGAGTTCGATCCTCGTGATCCATTGTTCTACTTCTACAGGAAACAAACGATCCTGCGCTGTGAATCAACGCTCGACATCATTGCACGATCGTTAACTATCTTCCAGCTTGCGCTTCATACCTCTCTGTGGGTTAATGATTCGGCTGGAAAGTGCGTGCTGTTTGCGACGAGGCAGCTCACGAGATAAAAACTCAAGACAATGGACAACTGTCTAGCGAAACTGTTTCTTCTTCTCGATCGTCTTTCTTCGATTACTGCTATCAGTCCGGTTTGTGCACCGGCACGCCAACACACGACAGAATCACGACGCTTTCGAGTACTTTCCGCCAGCGATTCGCGGTCATCACAGTTCAACATCAAGCCTGCCGTCTTCGGCCACCGAGCTACTATTCTCGTGCGTACGTTTACGCGACGAGTTTGCCGATTATTTGTTCCAAGAACTTATGCTGCAACTGCTGGAACCGTGCACGATTCTTCCTCGTTTACGTTCGCTGCAGGGAAGTAAAATGGCTCATGGCACGTGTCCCTTGACGGCGAAAGCGACGCGAACGTGAGCCTTTTCAACGATTTACTCTGTCACGATGACTAGTGGTATCTACTCGATACTTTGCATTTCGTTGGTCACAATCGACATTTTAAGGGACAAAAAAGCTGCAGAAATAAATTTTCCTTCGTTTGAAATTTTATTTGTTTTTTACTTTTACTGCTGGCTACGATTTGCCTTGCGTACAGCTTATTGTATTTAATAATTCATTAGACTATTATATAAAATTCTCTTTGATCGCGAAAAACGATACTAAATTTCCTTTCTCTTCTAAAACTGACATGATCTCTGGCGAATAGCTGGAGAAACAAATTATGCAGTATAAAAACTGAAATTATTCGATAGTAATTTTCTGGTGACATCGTTCCAATGCTTTCCCTCTTGTAATTTGGAATTCCGATTTACGCGTGGCTCAGTCGCGTGCACCATTCGCCAACGGGCCTGTTTTATAATAAAAGCATAGACAGCTGGCCTGATATTCGCGGTGGCAACGAACCGCGGCAACGAACCGCGGCAACGTCCCGCGGCAACGTCCCGCGGCAACGTCCCGCGGCAACGTCCCGCGGCAACGTCCCGCGGCAACGTCCCGCGGCAACGTCCCGCGGCAACGTCCCGCGGCAACGTCCCGCGGCAACGTCCCGCGGCAACGTCCCGCGGCAACGTCCCGCGGCAACGTCCCGCGGCAACGTCCCGCGGCAACGTCCCGCGGCAACGTCCCGCGGCAACGTCCCGCGGCAACGTCCCGCGGCAACGTCCCGCGGCAACGTCCCGCGGCAACGTCCCGCGGCAACGTCCCGCGGCAACGTCCCGCGGCAACGTCCCGCGGCAACGTCCCGCGGCAACGTCCCGCGGCAACGTCCCGCGGCAACGTCCCGCGGCAACGTCCCGCGGCAACGTCCCGCGGCAACGTCCCGCGGCAACGTCCCGCGGCAACGTCCCGCGGCAACGTCCCGCGGCAACGTCCCGCGGCAACGTCCCGCGGCAACGTCCCGCGGCAACGTCCCGCGGCAACGTCCCGCGGCAACGTCCCGCGGCAACGTCCCGCGGCAACGTCCCGCGGCAACGTCCCGCGGCAACGTCCCGCGGCAACGTCCCGCGGCAACGTCCCGCGGCAACGTCCCGCGGCAACGTCCCGCGGCAACGTCCCGCGGCAACGTCCCGCGGCAACGTCCCGCGGCAACGTCCCGCGGCAACGTCCCGCGGCAACGTCCCGCGGCAACGTCCCGCGGCAACGTCCCGCGGCAACCCGCGGCAACGTCCGGCGCCAACGTCCCGCGGCAACGTCCCGCACCAACGTCCTACGACACGGAAAGGGCAAAGGGGGTGCGCGAGATCTCCTCTCCTAAGCGAACACCAGCCGCGATCGATCGCGATGATCGTTCCAATCAATTAACCGAACGAATTTGTCGCAGTCGGAATATGCGAGGATCTATGCGAACGCACAACGACCTATGAAAAATCCAATGAGGTTTGAAAAAGAAATTCTATACGATACAAACCCCTTCCTATCGATTTGTCGGATCCTTTTTAAGGGCTATCATCGAAATCAATATGATTCTTTAAAAGATACGTTAGAATGTTAATAGAAATTAACTTTTCTGAGATGATAAAATTTCGTAAAAGAATCTCGTATAGATGAATTTGTATCTGCTTGGAAATCTGAAAATTAACGGCAGCTATACATTCTTCGGCATACTCATCGAGTATCAGCGAGCTTTGGTTACGATAAGGTTCGATCGATAATTGACTCGTTATCGGGTACAGTCGGTGTAGCGCGAGACAAGACCGCCAACCGTGCACGACAGCCTCGAATTATTGCTAGATAACGAGATCAATTCGGTTAATCGCCGTTAGGTGAGCAAGTATATATATCTGACTGCAAAGCTCGAGTCCGTTTGTTCTATTTGTTGGAAATCTTTGAGTAAGTGTATATAGACAAAAGTCAACCCAAAATTTCAGGAAATTATGGAAAATTTAGGAAACAGAGAATTAACAAAGCGTATAAATGGGTAAAAATAAAACGAGATCTGTTTTATCGTTCAACATTTTGTTCTTTAATATAACTCGCAAATATTACTATGAATCAGACACTATGAGTCATTGATAAAATCTACCTACTTTTAAAATATTGTATAGTTTCCACTTTAAGCATTGATAAATCATGTAACTGATGATTTTTAAGTACCAAGTACGAGATCAATTCAAATAGAGAATAAAATGTGTAAACGATTGAAAGATAATATAAACAAATTGACGAGTTTTATCTTCTTAAGTCACTTGGTATATGTGTGCAAAACTTGAAACAGGCGATCGAACTGGTTAACGATATGTTGCATAGTCAAAATTCACACGCTAGGAAATTCCAATAATTAAAGCGCTTACGATGTCGCACTTAACGCGATTACCGAGCGATCGATCTGATTAGCGCAATTACAAACCGTATGTTTCGTTGAACAATAGGAAAAGAATTGACGTTCGATATTCGATCGTTGATGGACTTTTGAAACTTTACATTACATTATTACGGGCCCAAAATTTCAAGTGAAATTTGAACGTTTAAAAATACGTTTGCAGCGAATCATGATAAGAGTACTAAAAGAAAATATTGAATTAATTATCAAACCAATGATTACTTTCTGATAGTTTGTTTAAATATTGAAAATGTTAACCAATTCAAGTTTCAAATTCAATCCAGATAATCAAAGTCATAATGATATATATAATTCACCATTAACTAGAATAAAACATTAACTTGTTTCAGTAGCTCTATCACTTCTACCTTTTATCAAATCAATTTAAATTATCAAAATTTTATTATCAAACATCTGTAGTTTCAATTATATAATAATAATCCTAAATCGGTTGCCAAATAGTCAATTAACCTAGAACCAACATGTCCCGTTTAATTTCCTTCATTTCCCTATGAACCAAAACTCTAGACACTATCATGCGCTAAACATGTTTTTCGACGTCGCGGCGCGTCGATGTGAAAGGGGTGTACGTATTCGTGCAACGAGCTCGATTTCCACACGGAGGTAGACAGGCTGTCTCTATTTTCATTGACACGTTGTTATACCGACACGAAAGAGGCCCGAGCGTAATGCGGTGCCGCGGTCACGACGCGCGTTTTATTTATAACCGCGTCTCGGTCAGAAACGGGCTGCGTTGCGTCGTGACGCGCGTGTCGAATATTACGCACGCGTACTGCGTCCTTTCGCGTGCATATGCGGCACCGTTCGCAAAGTGTTACAGAATCAAAAAAGATCATGAACGCGAAAATCGACGCACGGAAACAAGATCAAGAGAAAGGAAAGAAGAAGAAGAAGAAACAGTTATTAGTCCGACCTGCTATTCTAATCCAGCGATTCCACCCGAACGCGTCGCCTTTGAAACGGGAAGAGAATTGCCTGATACACCGAACGACCCGATGATGTTTCTTAAAATAACGAAACGCCGTGGCTTATATTTAGCGGCAGCGGTACGTTTGGAAGTTCTTCGGGTTTTTCTGGATCGAGCCACTCGAGTCGAACCTTTGGTCGATATCCGATTGTCATGAAAGAGGAGAGAATCGATTTAGATCAGAAGAATTTAATTCTGAAACACACGACCATCTAAGCCGATAAGATTTGTCGAATTTCTTCAAAATGGTCAGGAAACGATTATCAAACAATTCGTCGATTAGGTACCACGGCTTTTAGGTGAGGTATTCTATAATTTCAAAGTTGCTAATATCTTTCTATAAAATTTTAAGAAATGGTTCACCACGGTTCGACTACGAAAGACAGTCCACTTTATTTTCGTCGTGGAAATCGATAAATCCCCACTGAGGAAGCCCGAAGAATCTGAGCAACTTGGTATAGCCAGCGTCAGACAGCTAAACAGACGTCCGGCAGCTATCTAAAACTGTCGTTAGGCACATTCGTCAATCAGCCAGAGGAAAATTCAGTAAGAACCAGTTACATACCGAGCATCTAATCCGTTGATCATTCACGCGTTACCCGATAAAAGTGCTCGATCTGGTTATCAATCACGATTCGATAGATCTTCGCCAATCCAGTCTTAAAGACGACAATCCCACGTTATGGACTATTTCGCGTTTCGTTTGGCGGTGGCAGACATATTTCTAAAAAGAAATCGCGTTCGGCGCACGAATCGAAAAACAACGGCGGTTACGAGTGTTTTCCCCGTTCTTTCGATCGAAGGTGCTAGAAACTCAAATACGAGATTCCTTCGATGTGTCACTTATGAATTTCGAACGTGCGTTCAAGGCGCGAACACGCACCGCATGTGTTCCCAAAGCGTATAAAAGAGGAAACGGTAGGCGTTTGCAACTCGAATACCACGAAACAAAAATTAAACGAAGGTTAAACCAAAACTTTCTGCCGTCATGGAATCGATCGTTCTTAGAGATACTTAAATCTCGTAGGGATCCCAGGAGATTCCGGTACTGCGAGGCCGACGAGAGACGAAGGCAAGACAGGAGGTTCGCAACGATGATCTTCTGGGACGAATCGACGTCACTGGATCAAGAATGAAAGAGAGGAGAAGAAGCGAAAGAGTGTAAGTTGTTCGAGCAAAGAGGGTGAAACACGGGCAAGAGAAGCGAAGAAGTGTGCAGAAAGAACGAAGAAAGAGAGAGAAAGAATAAGGAGCTATTCGAAACAACACAACGAATGCGCACGGTCGCGCACGTGCAGTGGATGAAACACGTGTACCGTTGATGAGGGAATAAAGATCGGCTTATTGTTGGAAAGAAGCGGATGAGGCGAAGAAGCGTGCGTTGTTGTGATGGACCGAAACGCGCTCGCTCGCTCGCTTGCGAGAGAGAAAGAGAGAGAGAGAGAGAGAAAGAGAGGCAAAAAGAGAGTGAGAGTAACGCTCTCAATAAGGGATGAATCGAGGATGAAATATCGCGAAAAATTCGCGATGAGCAACGAAGCAATAGACTATCTCGCGAGAAATTGCGTTTGTCATCGAGTATTCATCTACCGATTGACTATGGGTACTTTGAGTCCGAGGTGTGTGGCGCGAGATCGATGTATCGACACTGGGATAAACGAATCGAGATCGATGTCAAATGATGAATAGAAATTCGGAATTCAACGAAGAAGAATGGAGGAATGAAAAATGAAACAAATAAAAATGAACGAGACGAGGAAGATGAAGATCGGAACTGAATAACACGTCGACGGATGCGTATCGCGACGAACGTCGTACGTATATATGCATCTATTTATATGTAATGCGTGTGTATGCGTGTATATGCATGATGAATATATCCGGGAGTCTCTCTCGCTCTCCGGCTGATCACGACGTGACAGATTTCTCTTCCTGTTCCTTTATCTTTTCTTTCGGTCTATTCTCTACTTTCATTTCGATCCGAAACGCATGTATTTTCTCGTTCGTCCCTCGCGCGTTCTCTATATAGGCTTTATACGTATACACACAGACACACACACACACGCACGCACACACACATATATATATGTGTGTGTGTGCGTGTGTATATATATATATATATGTATAATGAATGTGTGTGTATATATATATATATATATATATATATATA